AAGATATCAATCTAAAACAATTGGATAATTAGTGAAATCTTTAAAAATAAGCTTCATTGACCTGTGTAATTTTGACTACTCCAAACTTTAGATATGAATTTTAGAATTTTAAAATTCAAGATTTACGAAAATCCTCTCTTAATCTTATGAAAAGTTTTTTTCTCTCCTTACACAATTACATCATTAACTTATAAAGCATATATACGATGCTGAACATGATACCACTGATCTAACTTGCAATGATCTTTAACAGAAATTAATGAAACCTGTAAACGCCATCCATATAGTAAGGGTTTTTGGGGACATGATGACATCGTGTACTTTTTATTACGTTTTTCGCAATGTGAAGCTAACGCCAATACAGGTCCAAACAAAATTAATTCATATAAATAATCCAATCCCATTGCAATAGCTGTTGATACACAAAACAATCGTATTTCTACAAAAAAAATTTTTAAAAAGTAAAAAAGTGACACTACTTCCAAATATGAATTCGACAGTTAATTAATTATTAATTAAATTTGGTCAAATCAAGTTTGAAAACTAAATGTTCATAAATGGTTGGAAATCTAAACACCAAAAAAGAAATGTTATCAAATTGCAATATCTCGATTGGTCACAATTCTCAGAAAACCCTGACCCTTAAAAATATAGAAACTTATAAAAATATTAAATATCAATTCGGATATTATTGCAAAAATCTATGAAAAAATATTAAATATTAAAATTCAAAAAGATTAAATATTAAAATTCAAATTTATAATTCTCAAATACTGAAATTTGAATGTATTTGCAAAGTAACTTTACCTGGCGTGGGAGTTAAAGCGCCGATACTGAAGGAAATGAAATTCGTTAACGAAGTAATCGTAATAGAAGGTCCTACTTCTTCGAAGACTAAACCAAGTCGAACACTAACACTACTAGTATGTAATGCCAAACGTTGCCATGGATGGATCATCAGGAACGCATCATCAACTCCTTCAATAATTACAATTCAATTTGACAGTTTCGCTTTAAAATTTCAAAACATCTTTGAAAAAAAAACCCGCAAAATTAATCATTTGAAAATCATGTAAAAGTAAGCGTTATTCAGCGAGATGTTAGTGCTTATCATTTAAATGCCTATTGTTTGTTTTTGTTTATTTACTTATTTATTTGTTTGTTTATACTTGGATTTGCTTGTTTATTTATCTGACATGATATAGATCATATAGAAATACCTGTAAGATTATTTAATGAAATGTGAAAAAAAAGGATATATGATTTTTATTTGACAAAAAATTAACTTGTTAAAAATCTGCTGGAACTAACCAATGCCCATAATAAGGAATGGCATAACAAGCATAAGAGAATTTGTTCGAACACCAAAAAGCGATATGATACCATATGATGATGTAATCGAAAGTATTGGACATAAAATAGAACCAAATGCTACCAAAACTTTACCCCAATCCATCGCATTATAAAAAAATGCACTAGCAAGAACCGTAACAGTTACGAAAAACATCATAAAACCAAAACCTGAAAATATCAATAAGGATCGAGATAAAATAAGAAATACTAAATGTTGGTGAAGTGAAGAAGTAATTGAAATGTTGCAAGAAAGTTAATACTTAAAACTAGTGAAAGTAATCTGCGAAAATATATAATATTAAGTGTTTAAACATAAATGAAAACAATGTGAAATTAACAAAAATCAGGAAATGTCTTTCAAATAAATTTATTATTGCACAATAGAAATGATGTAAAGTGGAGTAATAATTAATTTACAAAAATTAATAAAATTTTGGAATTAGAAAATTTGTAAAAGACCTGCAGCAAAAAAAGGTGCAAGCTTTTGTCCATCTTTAATCATTTCTTGATTAAGAATCTCTGTGCCAATCACCTAAAATTTTCAACAATTTCATTTAATTTGAGAAAATCTAAAATGTGCTACAGGTTTGTAATCATTTAATGGACATTTACTGAATCAAAATTTTAAATATAACCTCCATATCAATTAAGCAGTTATTATAATGTTCTCGAGCAAATTTGAAAACAGAAAGTTCCCACAGCGATAGCTTTCGTTCCATTTCGGGGGATGATCGATCAGCACGGTAAAGAGCCAAAATTACCTGAAATCCGAAATAATGAATTCAAATTGTTCATAATCCAGAATCATATCATAACAAATTACTATAATTTGCTTTATTGCAGCTCGTAATTCATTTACTATAATTCGTAATTACTACAATTTGCTCGAAAAAAGTTTGCAAGTATTAAATTTAAACTTACTTTAACGAATTGCAAGTTTGAAACTAATTGTGCATAGGAAACATTTTGAGGCAACTTATCAGCGGTAATATTTTGGCCAACAAACATATCCTTTTTGGGTATTTCTTTCATAGTAATCCCAAAAAAGTTCCTTTCCAAATGAATGTCAAAGCCATCAATTTTCGCTACTGGATATGTTAAAGATGTATCATATGACAGTGGTTCACCTCGTTGCAAATGGACCCGTTCAACATCAACACTTTGCTGTTAAGTTAATCACGATAAATGGATTGAACAAAACCAATTAATTACTGATTCATTAAGAAATAAAAAATAAACAAATAATAACTCATGATGTCATTAACGTATTGTATAATAAATCGCATAAGTAATGGAAATACCTGAAAGCTTTTGCATTCGAAATTTACAGTTTTTCATTTTTGCTAACTTTTGAAAAAGATTCGGAAAAATTTTTGCTATATGTATCACATAAGAATAACTTTTAAAAAAAAAATTGGAGAGTAATCCAAATCTTAGTTGGTATATTTTTCTCGTCATGTAGGTCACAGTACATCTTACAGGTCAGATCTAATCTTAATTTCACTGATAATATGAATATTTACCTCAAGTAACTCTATACCCCAACACTTACTACTCCTTTATAATTGCTACTTACCTTAATTATATCTTACTTATTTTCATGCCAAAAGTAACATAAAAAGGAACAAAATAAAGACCTATCCTGTACTATGCGAAATCATTTTATGGACAAGTTTATGCAAATATTTCTAATGATAAATTAGCACAATTCAACTGGATGTTAGCAAAATTGTTGTTATTGTGATAATATTAATTAATGAATACAATCGAATATTACAGTACAAAATTAATCAAGTAATTAATTAATGATATTGCCAAATTTGTCAACAAAAATTGATAAATATTTACCTTGAAAAGTTGTAGTGCAATATTCATCCTACAATATGGTGAGCAAAAGTTTGCATATATAACTGGCTCATTATCATATATTACACTATGATTAGTCATCAAATAAGTGGTTAAACGTTCAATTTCGCTCAAATAATCATCACGTAACATCGATCCATTATCTTTGGCTGTCAGTAATACTACCGTAACCATTGGATCGCCTAAAATTAATTTTAGAATTTTTTATCTTTCTAAAAAAACTTGAGTAATTAAAAAGACAATTTTTCAATGTTTATTCCAACTTGATCATTATGTCTCTTTTCTTCCTCAGCAATTAATTAAAGCTTATTTGATTGGTAAGGAAATTTAAATAAACATTGAAATGCTCATAATGCTTGCATTCTTCTGCTTGCTAAATGTTTCAACTAAATTTTAAATGAATTAGAAAACAGTAATCTAAATGATGCAATTCTAATTAATCATTTCGAATGCTAATTCCGCGAAATTTGGATAATCTCCTAGCTATTCCTAAAATTGCAACTAATATTTCCTACTATCAAATTATCACTCACTGATTTTATTATGCTATAACCCATCGAATACGGTGAATAGAATTCTTATCTTAACATTCGTTCAATTTCAAAATATCTGATATTACTTTCAATATAATTACAATATAAAATTGTTTAAAAGTACCAGAAGAGTTCCAAAATTCCCGTAGTACATCCATTTCATATCTGGATGGTGCATTGGTTGGCGTATAACCATCACGTATTCGATCACGTAAAACAATTTTAAAGATACCAAATGAACTTGTTGAGATCAATAATGATAAAAGAATGTATACTATCGGGTAAGAGCCAACATTTTCGCCTAAATTTCCAACTAATAATTTAAACTGAAAGTGGAATTTTACAATTCAATTCCAACCCTTAATTCGGGATGATGAATTTCTGCGAATAAACTGAAGTAAATTAGGTGGATGTTACACCTTCATTAACATGATAAAAAAGCTCATTTCATACTAATCATCCTACAGATTACAATCAGTTAACTATCATTCCTCTGATTTAAACATGTTTTGGCTGAATCTACTGCTTAGTTATAGCAAATCAGGATCAAAAATCACAAGAAAACCATGTTAGGATGGATAACATAATGAAATCAAAATAAACTCAGCAACAATGAAAAAGTAATGATAAGATGCTTCTGGTACCGAAATTCACTGATAACAAATGATCCAACGAAATGGTAAACTAATAAAAAGATTGAAAGGATATTTACTAGGAACACGATTTTGCACTTATAAAATTTACGAACAATTTAAATATCATATGACTTTACCTAAAAGTCGAAATAAACCCCGAAGCGTGAGATATTTCCATAAGGAGAGAAGTTTATTGCGTCGTGAATCACCTATGCATCCTAAATTTGTCAACAAAATAAAATGAACGAACGAGCGGTAAATGAATGAAGTTTAAGAAATTACAAATTATAGTAAGCATTATTATTATAATCTTTTATACATCATTTAATTTTAAAATCTTTTTTCCATTTCATTTCAAATTCCTTCATATCGTTAGCATAAGATTTCAATTTCTTTTCTTTCAATTATACCTCTAACAGTTTCCACCACTCCAATTTGTTAAAAAGAGAAATGTTAATTAATAAGTAAATTAAACTGAAGCTATACTAAGTGTGACCTTCACTTCATTGAATTCATTCATAAACCAACCATGAGTGGTAAGTTGAAGTTTATTGAATGCCAAAATAGACTGATCATTCAAACGTGATAAGTTATCGGTTCTTTCCATATCAGTGCTATCCGAATAATTCTTTATGGTATCATTTGCCTCCATTTTGCCATCTTGCAAATGTTCATTGGTCATTAACAACACTCCCTTGGCTGTTTCTTCTGGGTTTTCCAATGGCATCTTTTATATATCAATATTTCACCTTTTTTTTTTTCTTTCTTTCAATTCCTCAACCACTTCATAACCAAACTTTTCCTTGCCAATTTGAAAAAAAAGAACTGAAAAAAAGGAAGAAAAAAATCATTGTTAATCACAACAAAAGAATGATTAACGTCCTTCGCCAACGAACTTGCCAGATAAAACAAAAGAGCCAAGCAAATATTCCCAGGAACTTGCTGGATAAAACAAAAGAGCCAAGCAAATATTCCCAGGAACTTGCTGGATAAAACAAAAGAGCCAAGCAAATATTCCCAGGAACTTGCTGGATAAAACAAAAGAGCCAAGCAAATATTCCCATATTAATCATACATATTTATACAAAAATTTCAATTATTCACAAAGAAATTCACCAATATTATTAAACATT